GCTGGTGACGTGCATGGATTCCTGTTTACAAGAAACCAGAAAGCATCCTTCGGTAAGCGTCCTTGCTGCATGTGAACGGGGCGGCTAGCACGGAGGAACTGGGCATTCCAGGGCTCGTGTTGGCAGTGGGATGGCATTGCCGCGAGATGCGTGGCAGCAAGCTCCTTCCTGCAGGCATGGTTTGACTTCAGACCGGCTGCCTGGTGTCCCTGCTGGCGCTTAGCTGGGACAGCCGGGACTTGGCTGGGGACAGCTCGGCCGCCTGCACCCTGCTGAGCTGCCTTTGTACGGTGCCCGGTGCCGGTCCGAGGGTCGAGCGGGTGCTGGCTGATGGCATTGCGTGCGTTTATGTCCCTCGATTCCTCCTTTGACTCGGTCATCACAGGTTTTTGAGTGCACGTATTGCAAAATAGAGCTTCTGCCTGCAGCTCCTGTGCTTATCTGCAGGTGTCCAAAGGGTGCTGCTGCTGTTCGGGGAAAACTGGCTGTTCTAGTAAGCTCAGGGGCATGGGAGGTGGGGGTGCAGCCTCTGTGCTGCCCCGTACCAGGGCATGCAGAGTCCATAGGGCACCGCGAGACTCGTGCCTATCGCCACATGGGTATGCAGGGGTTGTGGGGAGCCCTTCTGCTGTGTTCAGCTGAACTCGGTGCCTTCTTGGTGCTACAATCTGCCGGAGCCTGGGGATGGGGTTATCAGAGGTGGGAGCAGTGAGCCGCCCAGGGCTGTGCTTGGTCAGCAGTCTTCCTTCCCCTTTCCCTCTCTTGTGAGCAGGGCTGACACCACGGGTCATGATGTGCTTATGATGGCACAGGGCTTAGTCATTCATTTTGGGAGCAAGAGTCGCAGGCTGCAGTCCTGGTCTGGGACCGGGGAGCCAAATTGTCCTGAGGTACTTGAAACTCATCACAAGTTCAACTTCAGCTCATCACTACTTCAACTCAAAGAGCCAACCTACTGCCCAAATCGCCAACTGAGCTTCAGAGACAAGGCTTTTTGGTCACTATAATGCGACTCGTGGAAACATCCTTGTGTTTGGCAGAAAGGGAGGCCTCCCAGCCACGTTTCAGGACCATGATGCTGTGCCTGCCAGTTGGAGTTGGGGACTCCAGTGTGCTTTTGGGGGCATTTGCTGCACCATCTCCTAATGCTGTGTGCAAGATCTCTTCGGGTTGCTGACCACTTGGCTTTTAGGGCACTCCCTATCCCGTCTTGTTTGTTGTAACACTCTTTTTATTTCTATTTTAATATTTTTAATGCTATGATGTGATAGCACCTTTAGTCCACGTGGAAATCGTGGAGAATTTGAGGATGCCTGGCACTGACAGTGCTTCCAGTCTTTTGCTTGAGAGGTGCATGAGAAG